TGGGAGCTGGGGGGAGGGAAGGCGGGCGGGTGGCGGAGGGAGGGGGGAGGGGGGAGGGTCAGGAGGGTCAGGAGGAGGAGGAGGAGGCGGAGGAGGAGGAGGAGGAGGAGGAACATGAGGAGGAGGCGAAGGTGGAGAAGGAGGAGGAAGAGGAGGAGGAGGAGGAGGAGGAGGAGGAGGAGGAGGACGAGAAGGATGAGGGGGAGAGGGAGGAGCAGGAGAAGGAGGAGGAGGAGGGGAGGAGGAGGAGAAGGAGGCGGAAGCACAGGAGGAGGTGGTTTTCGAGTTCAAGGAGGTGCCCACCGACAGCTTTGCTTTGAACAGGAATCGCCTTGAATGGTGTGGCGGTTGAACCATATTCTTGGTCATGCAATTCATGCGCAATCTCAGGGGATAGTTCGGTTATGAAAAGAAGTTGTGTGCCACCCGTGTAATTGTCTCACGATTATACACTTCTGCTAATATTGCTGCAGGGGGTTCAGACGAGAACATTTTTTTTGAACACGTGATGGCCTCCATCCTCCATCCGTGTAGCTGTTAGTTCGTACGGCGAATATGCACAGCACTCGGACGAGAACGCATAAACAACGACCAGCCCTTCATACGTGTAGTTGTAAGAAGTGTTAGGCTTCGGGATGAATCAGTTGTAAGGATGTCTCAAGCGAAGCGCCTGGCTCGGTCTACACGTCTGGTGTGACAGGGCGAAGTCATTTATGAGGAAGAGGGATGGGGGGAGCAGGGAAGAACAAGGGGAAGGACGGGGGAAAAGGGTGGAGGGAGGAGGGATGAAGGAGGAGAAGGGGGAAGGAGGGGGGATGGAGGAGGGTGAAGGAGAGAGGAGGAGGGGGGGAGGTGGTACCTGTGGGCGCCCATTTCGCCGCCTCCGCGAGGAGAGGTTGCCGGGCCACGCCGGAGGCGCGCCAGCGAAGAGACGGCGCGAGGAGAACAGCGCTGGCAAGGGAGGGGTGACCTGGGCGCTGCCTACCCGCCCAGCCGTCCCGCCCCCTCAAGCTCTCGCCTGGTCACGCTTTCGGGCGTTTTTTGCCTTACGTTTCGGAAGGTGTCGGCCCACACGCCTCCACAGTTTCGGCACACTCCTTACAAGTCTCTTTTCAGGGAGCTCCCCCTAACGCCCCAGTGCGCCCGCCAGTGTGCGCGGTCGCAGGCGCTACTACCCCCAAAAAAAAGTCGGCATCACGCGCTTCGTGCCCCCTCAGGGAGCTCCTCCTGCGGCCTCAGTGGGCGCGGTCGCATGCGCCACTACCCCCCAGACATTGGCACACCTCTCACGCGTTCGCGCCCTGTAACGAGCTCTACCCACGGACTTCGTAGGCGCGATCGCATGCGTGGCACCTCCCACATTCGGCATACCACTCACGCGTTTCGCGCCCCGTGGGCGCGAACGCATGCGTCACTCCCCCCCAAATCGGCACACCACTCACGTGGATCATGCCTTAGGGAGTTCCACGGCCTCCGGTCGGAGCGTCCGCATGCTCTACCACCGCCCAGTTCGGTACCCCCCTCATGCAGATCGTCGTGCCCCCGTTGGGAATTCCACCTTCGGCCTTAGTCGGCGCCATCGCTTGCGGTAACATCACCCAAAGCGGCACGCCTCTTGCGCGGATCGCACCCCCATAGGGAGCCCCACCTACGGCCTGCGCGTGGTGTGCGCCTGCGGAGCCCCGTCGGCGCACTCTTCGCGCGGATAATGTCCGACGTGCAGAACAGCACACCTCGTGCGCGCTCCACAACAGCAGCGGCACTGCCTCAAAATCACCCCCCTCCCGCGGCGTGCAGCATTTGAGGTGAGTGCCGTGCCCGGGCGCTAAACGCAGCTGCATAGGGTTAACCCCTTTGCCGGGATCATTTTTGAGTTTAGGCATCTGGAGGCCACCAGAAGCGACGAATGGCGCGAACACGCGGGCGAGTAGTGCTCTCCTTTCCCCCTTCCCCGTCTCCTCTCTCCCCCATCTGCGTCCTGGAAGCGCCCCGCCCTCTCATCGGGTCGTTTTCATACGCCGGAATTTATTTAATCGCTTCGCTCATGCCGCCGGCCCTGGAGCCCTCTTTTGGGCCTCTTGGGGGCCTCTTGGGGACCTCTTGGGAGTCTCTTGGGGCTCCTTGGCGGCGTTTTGGAGGCCCCCAGGGCCTCTTGGGGGGCTCTTGGGGGTAGTCGATTGCGGCTCCCCCCTCGGAGGCCACGATCCTCGTGAGGGGTGTCGAAAAATACCCTCCCCTGGAGTGGTCTGGTGGCTTCTCCCGGGCTTCTCTCGGGACCTTGCCGGGGTACTTTTCGTCCGGGGGCCCCCAGGGGCCGCTCCGCGCGCGCGAACTAGAAATATTGTCAACAAGTTACCGGAGATCTTAGCACGCCTCTGGCCCGTTGGGCCGGCGAATTTATGTTGGTTTACTTGTTCTCTACCTTCCTGTGGTTTTGGGTCCTCGTTTTGAAGAGACAGCGCTCCGCGTCCTTCGTCCTCCCACTGCCCCCTCCTCCCCCCCTCTTCCTCCCATCCCATTTCTGCTTCTACACTCCGCATGCCACTCTTTCGGCACACCCCTCACACGTCACGTGGCCTCATGACACGACACGAGCTTGCCGGATGCCTCCGCCCAAGAAGTAGCAAGGGGGCGGGTGCCGGCGTGCCTGTAGGCGTGCCTGTAGGCGTGCCTGTAGGCGTGCCTATAGGCAGAGAGGGCCTGTAGGCGTGCCTGTAGGCAGGGAGGGCCCGTAGGCGCAGTAGGCGGAAGGGATGGATGGAGTGCCTATAGGCAAAGTGGGGGCCTGTAGGCATGCGGAGGAGGAGGAGGAGGAGGAGGAGGAGGAGGAGGAGGAGGAGGAGGAGGAGGAGGAGGAGGAGGAGGGGGTATCCTGGCCGAGGTGACGATCTGCCTCTTCTACCAGTACAAGGAGCCCCCGTGGACCTCCGGCGAGTTCAAGGCGATGCTGCAGTACGGGCGGGAGAGCGGCGCTCGGCACCGCCTCGGGGGGAGGACTCTCGGGGCTCCCAAGGAAAGGGGGGTGGGATCGGTCCGCAGCAACGATACTCACCACCCACCAAAGCACCCCAACCCAACCCGAAGGCCTCAATTTGCCCTCCATTTCCAGTTGGGGGGGGTCGGGGAACATCGAAAAAACACGTATGGAACCCGTACCCCCCCCAACCCGAAATTCGGGTCTTCGGGTTGGGTTGGGGTGGTCTGGTAGGTAGTCAGATACGGGGGGATGGGCATCAGGGGGGGCTGCATCGACCCCCAATCGCCCACTGATCGCCGATGGGGGCCCGATAGTCCCAGCCTGCCCAGGACGGGTCGGATTCACTATCGGAGGCCTATCGCCGATCTATCGGCGATGCATCGCCGATTCCAGGTCGATGCATCCCCCCCTGCCAGTCCCCCCCTATCGTTGCCCCTCAATCGGGGAGATGGGGGAGGTTCCAGACATCCCAGATTCGAAGACGAAAAAGTTGCATAAACATGAACTTTTGACGGTCCGCGCGGATCTCTTGGATCTGCGCTGCGCCCCCCTGGCGGCGCCGCCCCTGGCGTCCTCTGCGCGCCAGGGAGGGGGCCTGGCGCAGATTCACTAAATCCGCGCGGACCTTCGAAAGTTTGTTTTATGCCGTTCTTTCTTCTATCTGGGCTCCAGAAGGGGTCTGAGTAGATGGGGTCGGAGAATTATGCCGCATCGCCGATGCATAGGCGTTGCGGCTCGAAGTGGAGCCTCATTTCCTGCACGCCGAAGTCGCCGATGCATCGGTGATGCATCAGCGATTCGTCGCGATTCTCGGACCACATCTACTCCTACCCCATCTGTGAGGCCATGAGAGGTGGCGGTCGGGCAATCAGCTCAGGGAGCGGCTTCGTTTGATGCTCCCTCTTGCATCAAGCGCTGCTCCTGGCGAGAGGGCGTGCCTTTGAGCAACTCGGCTGCATTGCACAAGGGAGGGACGAGGGGGGGGATGGGATGAGGCTGGGAGGGAAGGGTGGAGGGACTGCGGGTGGGCTGATTCGCTGGCACCCTTTTCTTAGTACCCCACCCTTTGGTCGGAGCCCCGAAGGATGCGCGTGGCCCCAGAGGGTTTCAACTGCACCCTCACCGGTCCGCCAGGCGCTTGGGTCTGTCACTACACCTCCCCCCTCCTTCTCCTCCTCTTCGTCCTCCTCCTCCTCCTCCTCCTCCTCCTCCTCCCTCTCCCTCCCGCTCCTTTCTTCCTGTCCCTCCTCCCTCTCCCGGCCTGCCTCCTCCTCCCTGTCCTCTGATACCGTATGCTTTCTGGAGAGATTCATGCCCCTGGGGCTAGACAATCAACGATGGCCCACACTGGCATAAGACAGCACGGCATAGAGTAGCTCAGAAACAGCACGTCCACAGAGCACGCACAGCATACAACACGAACGGTCGAGAGCATCCACCACTACGAATGAGGGCCGTGGCCCGCCCGCGCCGGCCTTCCAGGCCACGCCGCGCCGGCAGACACTGGCGCGCTCTGCTCTGCTCTGCTCTGCTCTGCTCAACTCTGCTCAACTCTGCTCTGCTCCTCCTGGTCCTCCTGTTTGGCGTGCCCCCACAACTTGAAGGGAACGCCAGCTGACTGGTCTAGCTGCCCGAGGGCTGCTCGGAGCGTTGCCCTCTGAGCTGGCCTTCTCGAGCACCCGTAAGAGCGTGATGAGGGGGGGAGCAGGAGAACGAGGAGGGACAGGAGGAATAAGTGGGGATGGGCATGGGCGTGGAGATGGGGATGATGAAGCTCATGGTGCTGATGATGATGGTGATGATGAAGAAGATGATCCTGCTGATGATGATGACGTTGACGACGACAATGATGAGGATGCTGCTGATGATGGTGATGATGAGGATCATGATGATGATGGTGACGATGATGATGAGGATGCTGTCGACGACGACGACGACGATGCTGCTGATGATGATGATGATGATGATGATCATGCTGCTGATGACGCTGGCGACGACGATTGTGATGGTGATCGTGATGATGATGGTGATGGTGATGGTGATGGTGGCGGTGGTGATGATGATGATGATGATGATGATGATGATTGCAGTGCTGCTGCTGATGATGATGCCGATGATGATGATGTTGTTGATGATGATGATGATGATGAGGCTGGCGACAACGATGGTGATGGTCATAATGATGATGGTGATGGCGGTGGTGATGATGAGTATGACGATGATGCTGAGGATGATGCGGATGACGACTATGAGGATGATTATGATGATGCTGATGATGCTGCTGATTATGATGATGCTGCTGCTGATGATGAGGATGATGCGGCTGCTGATGATGATGAGGAGGAGGCGTGTAATGACGATGATGCTGATGCTGATGCTGATGTCGATGCTGATGCTGATGATGACGATAAACGGTCATGACGGTGATGATGATGGTGATTGTGGTGGTGGTGGTGGTGACTTTGTTGATGATGGCAATGATAATGATGACGTTGATGTCGGTGGCGAGGACAACGATGATCTATATGATGATGCTGATGATGATGATGCGTATGCTGCTGATGATGATTGTGATGACGACGATGATGATGCTGATGGTTGTCATGATGATAAAGAAGATGCAGATGATGCTGATGATAATGATGCTGATGATGATGCTGAGTAGGATGCTGCTGCTGCTGATGATGATGATGATGATGATGATGGGGATGATGCTGCTGCTGATGATGCGGATGATGCTGATGATGATGATGATGATGGATGGTGATGATGTTGATGATGATGATGATGATGATGATGATGATGATGATGATGATGATGATGGTGGTGGTGGTGGTGGTGGTGATGATGATGATGACGACGGCGACGGCGACGACGACGTTTAGCCCTCTGGAGCAAGCTGGGTAAGCGCGAGCATCAGAGACCCGTCGGCCCTGTCCACTCTCACTGCCCCTCCAATAACATTGTAAGCCATGCCGGCACATCTTGACATTTGGACTGGCGAACACTCCCACCTACTGAGCGGAAGGCACTCGCGCGCGCGCGGCCCCGTTCCCGACGACGCGCGAAGGAAGAATACGGGTCGCGCACAACCGGGATCGGAACTCTCAGAGAATTCCTGCGCTGCGTTTCAGCGAGAGCGCGTCCCAACACAGGAGCGCAAGACTCTGGTGGCATCCGAGCAGCGCTGTTGCGAGAGCGACATTTCGCTCCCTCAGGCGCGTCCCCGCTTCCGATGGCTGTCCTCTCTCCTTCCTCCTTTTCCCTCTCCTCTGTTTTTGCTCATCTGCTTCATCGCACATCGACTGCGAAGTCCGACTCGGGACCTGTACAGTAGTGTGCATGAGGCTTGTGGAATTTGCCACTCGCCTGGAGAGCATTTCGCCCCCAGCTCGTGCTTAAAGCAAGCAGTCCCCTTCTTCTGACGACTGGGCGAGCAACAAAAATTCGCCGCGCCCGACAAGCGGGAACGCCATTGTCAGGCATAATTTGCTCGGTACCTTTGCGCCCAAGCAGAACAACACACTTCATAACAAGCATGCGCGGCGCTGAGACAAGAGCTATGTTTTATTATTTCGCGCGCGATGTGCGCCGCGTCCTGTTCCTCCCGCGCCTTTTTCAATGTCGACGACAACGCCCATGTTGAGACAGACATGCCGACTTTGTTTTGATTTTTGAATGGTACGGGTAGGATGAATGGGCCCACATGGGGCGGCTATTGGCCGTCTAGGTGGCCGAAAGGTAGTAGGAACAAGGATATGAGCATGATGCTCATTATGATGATGCGCAGGAGGAGGAGGCGGAGGAGGAGAAGGAGGCGGAGGAGGAGGAGGAGGCGGAGAAGGAGGAGGAGGAGGAGGGAGATGAGGGAGGAGAATGAGGAGGAGGAGGAAGAGGAGGAGGAAGAGGAGGAGGAGGAGGTGGCGGAAGAGGAGGAGAATGAGGAGGAGGTGGCAGATGAGGAGGAAGAGGAGGAGGAGGAGGAGGAGCAAGAGGTGGAAGATGAGGAGGTGGTGGAAGAGGAGGAGGAGAAAGAGGAGGATGAAGAGAATGATCCTCACGGGCCAGAGCCAAGTCCTCCGGGTCATGGGATCCTGCCCCAAAGGCTGTCCCGGCATCCGCGGCTGGTGCAAAGAGATACGCGAGCGCTTCCCAGATCCATTCGCCAACACCGAATTCAAGCTCACCGACGGCCTCCCGCGGAACACGGCTTGGCCCGAGCTGGAGGCCAGTTTCATCTTCAGTTGTCTCTTGCCGTCGTCCTCCTCCTCCTGCTTCCCCTCCTTCTCGTGCAACAGCTCTCTCGTCGCTGCTCCTCTCCTGGTATTCCTCCTGGAGGTGACCCCGGCGCAGGAGCTCGTTGGCTACGGCCTCGCGGGGGAGCTGGCTCCCCCAGTGTCTAAAGGTCGGTAGAAAACGAAGGGTACAGTCGTGATAAGAGTCTCCGGGAGGAGTTGGACATCGCCACCCATAGGCCCCATGAAGTTCCCAAAGGGCTTCCCAGCACATGCTGTGTTTTCAATGCTCCTGCCCAGCTATCCGAGAGGCATCAAGACGGGCTCCCGTTGGCCTCTGGAGGTCTTCCGGCCGCTATGGGTGGGATCAGAGCGGTCCAGGAGGCCCAGAAGATGGGAAACCGTCGTTACACTCGTGCAAGTCCGATCCCTTTCAAAGGGGGGGCCCACCTGGAGCCGAGGGACTACCATGCCAAGATGGCGGAGCCCGACACGGTCATCCTGGATATACGCAACGGGTACGAGGTCGACATCGGCCGCATGGCGCCTCCCACGGGTGGCACACTGATCAACCCAGAGATGAGGCGCCTCATGTAGGGCGTAGGATGACGATGGGAGGGGTGAGGAGCAGGAGGCACAGGGCATGGTTCAGGGCATGGGAAGGGGGCGGCACACTGATCAGCCTAGAGACGAGGCGCTCGACGGATTTCCCCGCATGGGTTCAGCGCTCGGACGTCCAGGAGAAGCTCAAGAACAAGCAGGTGCTGATGTACTGCACGGGTGGTATCCGGTGCGAGCGAGCCTCGAGTCTGTTGAACCACCACATGGGTGGAGACATCAAGGGCGTCTTTCAGCTGCAGGGCGGTATCGACAAGTACCTGAAGGAGTTCGGCAGCGACGGAGGCTACTGGGTCGGGAAGAACTACACCTTCGACAAGCGGCTGTACCACGGCGCCGCGGAGGAGCCCCCCACCGAGGTCCTCGGGCGCTGCATCTTGTGCAAGGCCCCTTGGGAGGACCGGCGGCGGCACCCGGGGGGAAGCGAGCGAGGGCAGGCCTGCTCAGGGGGCGCCGTGGCCTCTCGGGAGCCCTCACGCCTTCCGAGACGCCGCCTGTGGCTTCCGGGAAAGCTCACCAAGGCCTCTCCGGAGGCGCGAGGGCTTCCGAGGAGCCCCGCCGCCTTCAGAGAGGGCCCGCCCCCTCTCGCTTCCTCCCGGGGCCCGCCGCCGAGAGGAGTACCTGGCGGGCCTCCGCTGCGCCTCCTGCGGGGTTCCCGTCCTCGCCTGCGACGCCTGCGCCGAGCGCAGGAAGCAGCAGGCGGGTGAGGCGGGGCTGCCGGAGGGCGCCGTGAGGTGCTCGCTGTGCATCAAGGACGGCGTCCTCAGCAAGGCCCAATGCCTGGGCGAACGGTGCGACTGTCTGGCGATGCAGTCTGGATTCTGGCTTTCCGCTCAGAGGAGGAGCAGAAACACCTATAGCGCTGCTCGTCCTGGGGAGCCCTCGTCGCCACGGCTGGATTCTCCTCGAAATTCTGGTCAGCTGTCCGTGGTGAGGCGGTATCGGCATTTTTGTTGCCCCCCCATCTGCGACTGTCCATCTCCGATGCGGGCAGTGGCTGCGAAAAGAGATCTTCTTCTGAACAGCGCAGACAGGTTCACATAGGAGTCCCACCTGCAATGTCACATTGCACCGCGCAGTCACGGGCCGCACCGTTTGCCCGCCTTTGGCAGGCGGAGTTCCGTGAGCGCGAGAGGCGCCAGAATGCGGATGCCAGCCGGGAGGTGTACCGCCTGATCCATGGCACGGACCCTGGTAAAGCTCCGAGCGACGGTGGAGCTGGGGGCTCTGTGGCATCTGGGAGCCGGGGGGACGTGACGCGGTTGTTTATCGGGAACCTCTCTGCCAAGCGGGTGGACGAGGCGACCTTGCTGAAACACTTCCCGGGCATCACGCACATCCAGTGGTTGAAAGATAAGTCCACGGGCTTGTTTTATGGCTCGGTCTTCGTGGAGATGGCCACCGCAGAGGACGCGGCAAAGGCGGTGGCCATGGATGGGAAGGACGTCTCCCTGCGGCCCGTCCGCGTCAAATACGCTCCTCTGCAGGTCGCCTGCGAAATCGGGGTCTCTACCGCTGGATGTTAGCCGTTGGGTGTCGGTCGGGCTGCCCCGGAGAGCAGAACCTCACTGTCCCACTAACCCTTTTCTGTCCCTTTTCTTTACTCTAATCTCCTCCACTTCCCTTTCTCCTGCTCCTCCTCCCGATCCTCGTCCCGCTCGCTCCTCCTGCTCCTCTTCCTGTCACAACGGGTCCAGGGTCCACACGCCCCTTGGGGGTCGAAGCAAGTCGGGAGCAGACAGTCGTAGTCTGGGCGAAAGCACGTGCGTAGTGGAGGGAGAGGCTTGTAAAGATTGTAAAGACCTTTTCGGCTTCACCGGGCTTATGAGGCTTGTCGAGCTTGAGGTGCTTTTAGAGATCATAGGGCCTATAGGGCTTCTGGGACTTATATGCCTTATGGAGCTCACATGACTTATTGGGCGGACATGGCGTATACATTGTACAGAGCTCATACGGCTTGTTCCACCGATCGGTAGGGCTCATACCGTTCATGGAGCGTATATGGCTCAAGGGGGTCAGAGCCTGCACGGCTTCTAGTGGTTGGTGGGCTCATAGGGCTTATCGCTGTACAGTAGGAACGTAATACGTTAACGACATCAGAGCAATGCAAACATACTTGATTCCAGCATGGGCGCAGCATGACGCAATAACACCAGAACGAACGATATCACCATTGTTGTTCACAGTTTTGACTCATCATGTTCTCCAGATGGCATTCACGATGGCTCGGTACAGCACCCGCCACACATGAATACGAGCAACACATAAACAACACAGCATCATGCCCCGCATGCCTCCCAACATGACCGACCATTCAGCTGAACACGGCTCGGCGTGCTCGAGCATAATGTTGCATCCACGAAGGCTTGGTACAGCGCCATCGAGTAATACAGGCAAAACTCGTACCCCACATCGGGACAACACTCGGCAAGATCACCATCCAGACGACCATCGGGACAACAATCGACGAGACAGCCATCGGCGAAACAACTATCGCGACAACCATCGGGGCAACAATCGGGACATCTGTCGGAACAGCCCTCGGGACAACCATCGGGACAACCATCAGGACAACCATCAGGACAACCATCGGGACAATCATCGGCACAACCATCGGGACAATCATCGGCACAACCATCGGGACAACTGGCGAGGAGGAGGCGGAGGAGGAGGAGGAAGAAGAGGAGGAGTAGGAGGAGGAGGATGAGGAGCAGGAGGAGGAGAAGGAGAAGGAGAAGGAGAAGGAGAAGGAGGAGGACAAGGAGGAGGAGGAGAAGGGTAAGAAGTGGAGGAGGAGGAGGTGGATTTCAGCAGGGAAACCGTGCAGGTGGCGAAGGGGCAGGAGCAGGTGGAGCATACTTGATCTCATGTAGTGTTGCTGCCCCTTTTGTTTGACAGTGTTGCAGCTATAGCTGCCGTCGGGTATTGGCTTTCTACTACAGGTGTCTGTTGATTTTTTGGGAACCTCTAGAAGAGGATAAAGAAGCGAATATGGAGGATGATGAGGGTGCTAGCCATGGTGCTGCTGTTGCTCAAGCTGATGCTAATGCTGATGCTGATGCGGTTGCGAGCGTCGCTGACGATTATGGTGATGATGATGAAGTTGCTGTTGTTGGTGATGATGCTGACGATGACGACGACGACGATGATGATGCTGATGATGATGATGCTGATGATGATGATGAGGATGATGATGGCGATGATGATGTTGATGATGATGATGACGATACTGATGATGATGCTGATACTGATGATGATGCTGATGATGATGATGCTGCTGATGATGATGATGATGAAGATGATGACGATGATGATGACGCTGACGATGCTGTTTATTACGATGGTGGCGACGTTGTCGATGATGCTGGTGTTCATGACGATGGGGTGGATGGTTATGCTGATCGCGAAAATGCTGGTAATGATACTGATGACGATGATGATGGTTAAGGCAACCATTGTGAGCCCAAAACGCATCATCGATGTTGCAATCCACCCTCTCTCCAAGTTCCCTTTTCACAGGTCCCTAAGTCATTTGTGTTTTCATCGCGAGAAGGTGCCCATTAGAAGACAACCGTCTGAGTGTCCTAAATTGTGACACTACACAATTTCTGGGACTACTACGTCGCGGATCAGCGTGACTGTTGCGTCACAACATTCTTGAGTCGTGCCTAACAACCATTCGTCATTATTCGTAGGACCATCACAGAGCGAATCAACGTGATTGCTGCGTCCTGGCAATACAGACTGGTGCCAGGACACCATTCCTGGGATTTCGACCATACGAATCTTAGAAACCATGTGCAAGCTTTTAAGACGACTGTGTGCGGCGCTGAGGCGAGAGCCACATTTTGAAAACGACCCGTCCTCCATCCGTGAAGCTGTTGTGAACTTTCAAGACGAATGTGCGCGGCGCTAAGGCGAGAACCACATTTTGGAAACGCCCCCCCGTCCATCCGTGGAGCTGTTCTAAATTTCAGGCTTCAGGATCATACATGGCGAGGGAGTCTCAGGCGAAACGCCCAGCCCGCCCAACCGACACGCTTGCGGGTGCGACAGGCCGGCGTTATATCTATAAGGAGAAGGGATGGGGGAGGAGGCGGAGGAGGCGGAGGAGGAGAAGGAGGAGGTGGAGGAGGAGGAGGAGGTGGAGGGAGGAGGGAGGGGGGAGGAGGATGAGGAGAAGCAGGAGGAGCAGGAGGTAAGGCCTGGACCGTGCTGGGCGATTGTTCTCATCCCAGTTGCATTTCACGAGGATCCTCGCTATCCCTTTTTCCCGCTTGCTCTCGTCCTGCTCTTTCCATCCCGCATTATACAAGCATCACCGCTCCGCCTTGAACTTTACATATACAACATATAATAGATATTTGTATATATATATATATATAGAGGAGGTGAGGGTGGTGGTGGTGGTGCTGCTGTTGCCGGAGGTGGTGGTGGTGGCGGAGGGGTGGGAGGAGGTAGAGGGGGATCTCTCGAGCGACGCTCCCGATTTCGCTGGCAAGCAGGGGCCAAGTCGCTGGCCGCCGTACGGGTCTGAGGTCGGCAAGGCCTCCACGACTAGGCCCGCGACCAAGCACGACATGAAGAAGGCGACCGCCAAGGGGCAGGTGGCTTGGTGGCCCCGCCTTCCCGAGAAGGGCAGGGGACATTGGCGGTGCGCACACTGGTTTGGCGCAAGGGGGGGGGGCGGCCCTCGAAGGTGGCGGGGGAGCTTCTGGCCCTTCTGAGAAGGCCCCTTCCGTCTAAGACCCCCCCCGTGTCTCCTTAGATGGCCGCCCCCCCCCCCCCGCGCCACCTCCCAGCGAGCGCCGCCGCGGGCAGCAGAAAACCGTCCAGCAGCGGCCCCCCAGAGGCGAACAGACAAGGCAGCCAAGCACCGGTCGAGCACCGGTCGATCTCGGCCGCCTCTTCGCGCGCGGGGGCGGTCCAGCCCGCTGTTCTTCCCTGGCCGCCCGCGCCTCTCGGGGGAGCAGGGCCCGGCGACGGAAGCAGGCCGCGGAAGCCGCGGCGTGGGGTTTGCCGTGTCTTCTCGCGTGCGGCCCTCCTGCTTGTCCTCCTCCTCCTCCTCCTCCTTCTCCTCCTCCTCCTCCTCCTCTTCCCCCTCCTTCTCCTCCTCCTTCTTCTCCTCCTACTCCTCCTCCTCCTCTTCCTCAGCCTTCTCCACCTCCTTCTCCTCGTTTCTTTTCGTCGGCGCGGCACGCCGCGTGGAGAGCGAGGGCGCTTGCGCGCGGCCTTGTGCGGGAAGCCTGCGCGCCAGTGCCCGAGCAGTCGGCCCGGCTCCTCGTCCGTCGCTCAGGTGGTGCCCATGGGCCCCAAGCCCTTCCCGAAGTGCCGCAAGTTCTTCGTGCGAGGTCTTCGGGCGTCGCGCAAGGGGGTGGGGAGGGGGCGACCACCGGGGCGGCGAGGAAGGGTGCGCCTTCTGTGCACCTTCGGGGCCCCTGGAGGGCCCATCTGGCCCTCCCCCCTTCCCTGCAGCCCTCGATTCCCCCCCCATTTACGGTGGTTGCGCTTGTCAAGCAGTGTGCCCAGGAGGCCTCAGACCCTGGGGGATTCCGTCTCTGATGAGGGCGACGGTGATATCTTCAATAACCATTTCGCGTTTGGAGTTCGCCGGCTTCCAGACCCTGGATTTCTTCTACGACCGTTCTTTGTCCAAAGTTCTCACCGTATCGCCCTCCCGGCTTCGGCGCAGCACGCCGTCCACTTCCCGGTCCCCGGGCGTGCACGTCCCGAGCTCATCCGAGCCTCCCGCCCCGCGGGGCACAGCGACGCGCCATCCGCTCGCAAGGCACAGCGCGTCGCTGGGGCCGCCGCCAGTGCACGCGGTGCAAAATCGTTCTCGCCGCCGCAGGCCGCCCTTCATTGCAGCCCCCCCCCCCCCCCGACGCAGCGCCCGAGGCCTGCCCCCGGACGCCGGGGAGCAGGACATCCGGGCCTTCTTCGCCCGCGCGGGCGAGGTCGAGGTCGCCGGCGTGCGCTGGATGACCGACAAGGAGACCGGCGGCTTTCGCGGCAGCGCGCTGGTGGAGCTCGCCAACACGCGGCAGGCCTCGAGGGGGAAGACACACGGTGGCCGTGTCGGCCGTCGCCGATTCGCGAGGAGGGTCCACGCATTGGCGTTGGGCAAGATCGAGAGTGACAAAAGTCGGCACGACGTTCCCGCGCTCAGTCTTGGTCATGTATGGTTCCTGTTTTCTTCCCCTCCAAGGCCGACATGGCGGCGTCGCTTCACGGGCAGAAGCTGCTGGGCTTCGCGGCGCGGCTGGAGTGGACTCAGTGATTCCAGGCCTCCTCGACGGGGCCGGAGCAGGTGGGAGGGCGATTCGAGACAGGGGTAGGTTGCCTTCGGGGGGGCCCCTTGTCGCAACGGCTGGACGCAGCTCGGGAAGCTAGAGCGTTTGGATCCCGCGAGGTGTCTGGGGACCAATTCTGAGCTGCCGTTCTCTCAACTCGCCTTGTTCCGAGGTGGGGTCGGAGGATGGCGCCGTATCGCCGATGCATCGGCGATGCGGCGCTATTTGAAGCTCGGGTTTCTCCATCCGAGCGTCGCTGGTGCATCGGCGATGTGGTGCCATCCTCCGTCCCCTTCTGCTCTGGCCTCATTTGGGAGGCCTCAATGATTTGCTCAAGCTTCTGCAGCCGCATGCGCACCGTACATTGCGCATCCAGATGACAGTTGGGTGTCCGACTCTTCCCGCAGAGTTTCAGCTGGCCGCGGGTATCTTGAGTCTCTACCCGTCCATGGTGGTCTCGGTTCCTCGAAGCGGACCCACAGGGGCAGAGTTCGCAAGCGCTTGTCTGAATCTGACTCGTTCGAGCTGCTGGAGGCTTCCCTGGTCGTGGGCCACGGAGGAGGCCACCGGCGCACGCCCAGCGCTGCGCTCGGAGGGGACCCGCTCACGATCTGAGGAGGGGCTGCTGGTGAGGCCCAGCTTTTGGAGAACGCTCCTCCATTTCCTTCCCCCCCCTTCTCGGGAGCGAACGGCCTTTGAGCCAGGGAGGGGAGGAGGAGGAGGAGGAGGAGGAGGAGGAGGAGGAGGAGGAGGAGGAGGAGGAGGAGGAGGAGGAGGAGGACGGAGGAGGAGGAGGAGGACTGAGGACTGAGGACTGAGGAGAAGGAGGAGGACTGAGGACTGAGGAGGAGGAGGAGGAGGAGGAGGAGGAGGAGGAGGAGGAGGAGGAGGAGGAGGAGGAGGTCCAGTGTAAACCCAATAGTCACCAACGATGTTGGAGTAAGCCCTTCCTCCAAACTCCCTCTTCATAGGCCCCTACAACGGTTCATTTCCATTGATGTAACTGCCTCGTTGGAAGACACCCGTTTGAAGACCCCGAAGCATGGCAAAACATTGTTCTCGGGATTCCAGCGCCGCGGATCAACCTGACTGTTGCGTCTTGACGATCCTAGATCACGCCAGAACGCCATTCCTAGAACTTCAACGCAGAGAAATATACATGCTGCACCAGCATCATCCTGCTTCCAAAACGCCATTTCTGGTACGCTGACGCCGGGAATCCGTGAAACTCTTGAAACATGTTGTAAACGAATGTGCGCGGCGCTAAGGCGAGAGCCACATTTTGAAACGGATCCGCCCTCAATATGTGAAACTCTTGCATTTTTTCAAAACAGATGTGCGCGACGCTAAGGCGAGAGCCACATTTTGAAAAGGAGCCGAGTTCAATCCGTGAAGCCCTTGTAGTTTTCAAACGAATGCGCGCCGCGCTATGGTGATAGCCACATTTTGAAAACGACCCGTCCTCAAGCCGTGAAGCTCTTGTAATTTGTCAAACGAATGTGCGCCGCGCTGAGGCGAGAGTCACATTTTGAAAACGGCCCGCCCTCCATCTGTGAAGCTGTTCGCAATTTTAAAGCTTCAGAGTCATGAGTGGTGAGGAAGTCGCAGGCGAAACGCCCGGCCCGCCCTAAAAACTGGCTTCGGGGAGCGACAGGGAGACATTATTTCTAAGGAAAAGGAATGGAGGAGGAGGAAGAGGAGGAGGAGGAGGAGGAGGAGGAGGAGGATGAGGAGGAGGAGGAGGGAGGAGGAGGAGGAAGAGGAGGAGGACGGAGGAGAAGGAGGAGGACTGAGGACGGAGGAAGGAGGAGGAGGAGGAGGAGGAGGAGGAGGAGGAGGAGGAGGTGGAGGAGGAGGAGGAGGAGGAGGAGGAGGAGGTGATGGTAGAAGCTTAAGCTTGCCCAACGTGCAAAAGCAGGAGGAGGACCCCCCCCCCGCGGCGAGAGGCCTCCGAGCCAGGGAGGGGGCCCAGGGCCTGGGCCTGCGTCGGAGCCCCGCCCAGATCGGCGAGAGCCGCGCGATGCGCGCGGATGCCGAAGGCGGGGGCGTGGCGGTGGACGCTGAGCGGCGTCCCGCGGGGCTCCGAGGGGGGGGGGGCGGTGCACAGGGCTCAGCCCTGGTCGATGGGTCCAATCGACCCGATTCGATATCGATTGTGGCTGGCCCGATCCGATTCGATTCCGGTGTTCCGAGGATCCGCTGCGGCCCGATGTTTGCATGGCGCTGCTTTGCATCCAAGCGCAGCCGATCCGATTCGATTCCGATTCCGTGCCGATGCAGCCCGATCCGATGCACATGTCGATTCGATCCGATCTGCCGATTCGATGCTGACTGATCCTGGGACGCGGCCTGGGCACCGCACGGCCTTAGTGGCGGACCAGAGCGACCCCGCCGAAGTCCTCCGAGGCGCCAGGGAGGGTACGCATATACCTTCTGGGGTCCCTGAGAGGTCCCCGGCGCTTTTCGAGGATCGATGCTCTTCATGGCGCTCGTTGGCCAAGTGTCAGGATGGGGAAATCGGCACACGCAAACAAACTTTGATTTCCAGGGGAATGTGGGGACTATAAAGAAACGGGACATGGAGGGGAAATGTTACAATATGGAGGGGCACTAAGTGAACATATGCAAACAAATTGGAAATGGATGGAAAGACGAGAAGCATCCAGGAAATATGGAAACATATAAGGGATCCTGGAAGTCGTGCCGATTTTTTTGGTGTCTTCCTGCGCATCTTTGAAGTGTGCGTTTGCCCCCGTTCAGCTCCACCGATAGCACGCCGCCCGTGTCGGCCCTCATTCCACCGCGTGTGTTGTACAGAAGGGCTTCGACGGATAAGCACACGTTGCCGCTGACACACGCTTGGAGTGTCATCGACCCAACCCATGGAGTTGTGAAGGGCTGGAGTGGGCGCCCAGAGGGTAAGCAAAGGGGAACCACACGAGGGTTCCAAAAGGGAGCGGCGCCTGGAGGGTTCCAGTTCTTCGAGCCTGGGGCGAGGCGTACGGCCAGGGACGCCTGCCTGGCGTGTCGCCTCGCTGGTCCTGGCCCGCCACGCCTCGGCGCCACACGCTGAGCACGCCTCGGCCTCCGAGCACACACGCTCCGAGCTTTACCCGGCCTCCCGCCCCACGGAGCAGAGCGGCCCGCCATCCGCTTGCCAGGCGTACGGTGTTGCAGAGGCCGCAGCCGCGCCACCGCACGAGGGGAGGGTGTGGGGCCGAACCGCCTCGCCTTGGCCCCTCCCCCCCCCCCTGGCACTCTCCTGGTCGCTGGCGGACAGACTGCCCCCGCTCGGCTCTCTGTCGGTTCAGGCCGCCTCTGTAGTAGTTCAGTGGTGGCATCCTCGTCGCCATCTGAGGGCTACGGCCCTACCGCCGCGCACCTGTGGGGGCCCCCCTCTGGGACGTGTTCGGCGCTCCGCTCCGCTCCGCTCCGCTCCGCCGCGGCGCCCGCGTGACAGACCGCTCGAGGCGGGCGGGGGTACGCGCGCCTCCAGGCCAGCTTCGAGAAACTGGATCCACGTCGCCATCATCTCGCGATCAGCTCAGGCCAGGCGCTCGTGTTCACAGGGAAGCATTGAGGTACTGACCAGAACCGCCGTCACCACCAAGCATCCGCCCTGTTGGGCATCCCGCCTGGGCGGCTGCAGCAACCGCCCGGATGTTGGGCTCCAGGAGGGGGTGCACTTACAAACGTCGGTGGGCCAAAGTAGAATGGGATGATGATGATGATGATGCTGATGATGATGATGATGATGAGGAGGAGGAGGAGGAGGAGGAGGAGGAGGAGGAGGAGGAGGAGGATAACGACGGGAGGGCGGGAGGGGGAACAGAGGAATCGTAAGATGAGAGTTGATAATAATGATGGTGAGGAGGATTTCTGATGACGGTGAGGGGGAAGAGGAGGAAAAGGAGGATGCGGAGCAACATGCTCAGGATGAGAAGGGTCAGGATAAGGATCACCATGAGGACAAGGAATGTTACCAGGAGACGGATCGCGAGGCGCTGGAGGGCGGCTGGAGGAGGAAAAGGAGGAGGAAGAGGAGGAGGAGGGATCACGGCGACGACGACGACATAGACATAGACGACGACGATGTTGCTGCTGATACTGATCGTGGTGATGATGTTGCTGATGACGACGATGACGATGATGATGACGATGACGATGACGATGACGATGATGATGATGATGATGATGATGATGATGATGATGATGATGATGATGATGATGATAATGATGCTGATGATGATGCTGATGCTGATGCTGATGCTGATGCTGATGCTGATGCTGATGCTTATGATGATGACGATCATGCTGATGCTGATGATGATGCTGATGCTGCTGCTGACGATGATGAGGCTGACGATGAGAATGATGATGAGGATGTTGATGATGATGCTGATGCTGGCGATGATGATGTCGATGAAGATGATGAGGATGCTGATGATGCGGACGATGACGACAACGACGACGGCGACGACGACAATGATGATGCTGATGATGGTGTTGATGATGCTGATGATAATGCTAACGATGACGCCGGCAACGATGATGATAATGCTGGTAACCATGATGATCATGCTGATGATGATGATGCTGGTACGGCTGATCATGATGCTGACCATGCTGCTGCTACTGATGATGATGATGATGATGATGATGATGATGATGCTGACGATGCCGATGATACTGATGATGGTGCTGATGATGCGGTTGACGATGATGCTGGTGACGATAAACAGGACGACTCTGATGCTGATGATGGTATGATGCTGACGCTGACGATGGCGGCGACGACGATGTTGCTGATGGGTATGATGATGAGGATGCGGATGCTGCTGATGATGATGATGATGATGCTGATGATGACGATGGTGGTGGTGGTGGCGATAGTGAGGATGGTGCCGATGGTGGTACAGCTCATGCTGACGAGGATGATGAGGACGTGGACCATGCTGCTGCTGACAATGAGAACGGTTATGACGACGATGACGACGAATCTGGTGATGATGTTGATGCTGCTGCTGATGATGGTGATGATGGTGGTGCTGATGATGATGATGCTGATGATGATGCGGATGATGAGGACGATGCTTATGATGATGACACTGCTCATGATGATCGTGATGATGATGTCGATGTTGACGGTGGCGATGCTGATGGTGAGGTTGACGGCAGCGGGTGATGCTAATAACGGATATGCTGACGCTGTTTGGGTTTGTTGCTGATGTTGCTGATGCTGATGATGATGATGATGATGATGATGATGATGATGATGATGATGATGATGATGGTGATTCTGATGCTGCTGATGATGACGATGAGGCTGCTGCCGCTGATGATGATCACCATTAGTAAGAAGAGCGGCACATGATGACGATGATGCTGATGCCGATGCTGATGCTGCTTATGGTGACGTTGCTGCAGCGGCTGCTGCTGATGATGTTGATGATGCTGCTGCTGCTGATGATGACAACGATTATGAGTATGCTGATGGTGCTGACGATGCTGATGATGATGTTGATGCTGATGCTGATGGCGCTGCTGCTGATGATGATGCCGATGATGATGCTAATGCTGATGCTGATGATGATGCTGCTGATTCTGCCGCTGATGGTGATGATGATGACGCCGATGCTGATGCTGATGCTGATGCTGCTGCCGACGATGCAGACGAGACTGACGATGCTGCTGCTGATGATGATGCTGATGATGATGATGCTGCTGATGATGGTGACGATGATGGCGATAGCGATGACGATGATGATGCTGATTCTGCTGCTGCTGCAGATGCTGATGATGATGCTGATGCTGATAACGACGACGAAGCCGGTGACGATGACGATGACGATGATGATGATGATGCTGATGATGCTGATGACGAGGATGCTGTTGATGCTGATGATGCTGATGCTGATGCTGCTGATGATGATGCTGATGATGCTGCTGATGATGCTGCTGGTGATGATGATGACGATGATGCTGCTGATGATGCTGATGATGATGATGCTGATGATGATGCTGATGATGATGATGCTGATGATGCTGATGATGATGATGATGATGATGATGATGATGATGATGATGATGAGCTGATGATGCCGATGATGATGATGGTGATGATGATGGTGATGCTGATGATGTGATGGGGGAAGGAGCAGGAACAGGAGTAGGAGCAGGAATCACGGACTTGGAGGAGGTTCTGGAGGAGCCCCCCCACCTCTTCCATCCTCCGATTATCTGCCATCCTCGCGCCCGCATCTCATCCCCTCCCAGTCCTGCCGTAGTCCACCACATCCAGGAGGATGATGAGGACTAGGATGAGGATGAGGATCATGATGATGATGATGAGGAGGAGGAGGAGGAGGAGGAGGAGGAGGAGGAGGAGGAGGAGGAGGTGGAGGAGGAGGACGAGAAGGAGGAGGAGACGGGTGCTCGTCGTCATCGTCGTCGTCGTCGTCGGAGGAGGGCGAGCCAGATGAGGAGGAGGACGAGGAGGAGGAGGCGGAAGAGGATCAGTGTAAACCCAAGAGCCATCAACGATGTTGGAATCTACCCCTCCCTCCACGCTCCTTCTCCACAGGCACCTACAACGGCTCTTTCCATTGAGGGAATTGCCTCGTTGGAAGGCACCCGCTTGAAGTCCCTGGCGCATGGCAAAGCATTGTTCTCGGCATTCCAGCGCAACGGATCAACCTGACTGTTGCGTTTTGACGATCTTGAATCGTGTCAGAACGCCATTCTTGGGACTGCGAGCCACATTTTGAAAACTGGTCGCCCTCACTCCGTGAAGCTCTTGCAAAATTTGAAAACAAGCGAGCGCGGCGCAAGGGCGAGGGCCCCATTTTGAGAAAGGGTCGCCCTCAATCAGTGAAACTCTGGCAAATTTCTAGGACGAATGTGCGCGGCGCTAAGGCGAGAGCCACATTTTGAAAACTGGTCGCCCTCAATCCGTGAAGCTCTTGTAAACTTTGAAAACGAATGTGCGCGGCGCTAAGGCGACAACCACATTTTGATAACCACCCGCCCTCCATCTTTTAAGCCTCAGGTCATAACTGGTGAGGAAGTCTCAGGCGAAACGCCTGGCCCGCCCTAAACATTGGCCTCGGGGTGCAAGAGGGAGAAGTTGTTTGTATGAACTAAGAATGGAGGAAGCGCTCGTCTTTGTCTTTGTCTTTGTCGTCGTCGTCGTCGTCGTCGTCGTCAATCCCCTCCTTCCACCCCTCCCTGGAAGGCGCTGCCGTGAGTGCGGCGAGGCGCTGCGCCCCCTGGAGGCGGCGCTGCACGACTGCGCGGCGGTGCTGACGTGGCCGTTCCAGGAGGGGGCTCTGCGGCCGGGCGCGGGGCCGAGGGGCGCGGTGCAGCGGCGTCCCTGGGGGCCCCCTCCCCGCCTCCCTGGGCCGACGGGCGCAGTGGAGCGGCGTCCCATGGGCCCCCCCCTTCCCGCCTCCCTTTCCGCTCCCCGCTCCCGAGTCCCTCCCTCTCCCTTCTCCGCTCTCCTCCCACTTCTCTCCCTCCGCTCGTGCTGCTCCTGCTTTCTGGGAGGCTGCACCAGCTGTGTCTGGCCCCCCGCCTCCCATCCCTCGAAGAAAACACAACGGCACAGACTGGGGGTCCAGCGCCGATCCAGTGAATCCGCGCGGGTCTCCGAAAGTTTATGTTTATGCAGTTTGTTCTTCCTGTATTGTCGCTCCCCGCCCCTTTCTCCCACCCTCCCCTCTACGCTCACTCTCTCCACTTCAGAGCGTTGCGAGAGTATGCGTATGACATACGCCTGGGTTGGAAGCCGCACAAGCGGCGCGGCTTTCGGCAGCATCGCGGCGCTAACATGGCCTGCTGGCTGCCGCCTCGCATTGGCAGCAAAGAGCCCACGGGGACAGGGGGGAGGAACTCCGCCTGCTTTTCCTTCTCTCTCCTCCCTCCTTTCTCTTCACTTCGCCTTTCAGCCTCTGCCCGCAGTCCCGCGCGGGGCGGGACAGGGCGGGCAGGAGATTTGTCTCCACTCCGCGGACGAAGGACGGTATAACACATTTGCTCCCGCCGTGGGGGGGCGCCTGCCCCGTGGCGGCTGGGGGGTTAAACTCTCCGGCTGCCACGGGTTATACACTTTCCAGCCGACACCTGGGGGCGCCTGCCCCGACGTGCCGCCGTGGGGGGAATTCACTTCCCAGCCGCCCTGGGGGCAGGCGCCCCCGACGGCGGAACAGCTTGTTCTCTGCCGTGCTGCCTCCGCTATTTCAGGCGGTGGCGCCGTCGTGTCGGTGGGGAGCACCGTGCCACCCCCCCGCTGGCCGACGGAAGCCTCCCCCGCAGCAGCCATCCAGCGGCGGCGGCCGCCGAGGCGTGGCGCGGCGTCTGGGCTGCCGGCCTCTTCGCC